AGAGAAAGGAAAAATTGAAATCGCATCATATGACCCCTTTAAATGAACATTCGTCATTATGTTGTTAAATAACAGTATCCATTGAATGCACTGGACTTCTGTTACTCAAGTTTTCATTCCTGTCAAAAATGAAATATGGCTTTATCCTGACTAAAGTCTATTGATAATCTTATCCTGAGATGAGCTGTTAACCAGATCATTGAATCGGTGGGTTGAGAGTCAGATCAGTTAGATTCGTAAATTAATCATTCAAAATGGTGTTGTAAAATGAATCGACTGCTTCTTTTATAGTCAAAATAAAGTTTCCAGCAAATAACAGTTTAAATATCTGTTTCTCACACATGCTATTGTAAGGCTTCATAAGACTACAGCATGAAAGAATATTTTATAATACCTTATAGTGCTTTTGCACTCTTTTTGAAGTTTCATTGTAATTGCAGCCAGCACAGTTCTTCAGAATTCAATTCTTTTTTTCCTTTTCTGTTCCCGAAAAGAATTAAATTCATACAGGTTTGTAACAACATGAGAGTGAAAAGTCCCTTTTAAATTCTGACAGACTCTTAAGACTTTAGATTAATGGCAGCACTGTAGACTCCTCAGATTGCCCAACTCTGTTTTTTACTCTTAATCTCACACACACACACACACACTTATTATCTATAAGATATTGCTGAGTCATCCACTGTGGATCAAGACGATTGGCTTTCTATGAACATGGTGTTGCCAAGCTGGCAAGGTTAAACAGATTCCTGCTGCAGCAAGCACCCACGCCACAATACATGAGTTCCTGTCAATAAATGTATGACTGCAAGTGAATAATGTTTGGTTTTGTTTAGGGATGGGTTGATAGTAGTCATTCAGTCACACAACATCCAACTAGTCAATTAGGGAGTTAGACTTGTTTATATAGATTTTTTTCCCTTTCATATTTCAGTTTTGATATCTTAAGCGACAGTGCTTTAATTAGCATTTTACACTGCTCTTTGTTTAATTTGTATGGTAAAACCTAGTCAGTTTTGAAAACATGCACTTTTGCATTGAAGAATCCCATTCAAAAATCATTTCAGTTTGACCTGAACAGTTTATGTGACACATTTCTGTGTGGCTATTGCAGGAGGGGTCAGTGCAAACAATATGAATTATCCAAATAATGGGATATACTTTCGTTTCTCTGCCTTTTAGATTTCTTAATCTACTTGACAACTGACTAAGTCAGCAGGCACAAGTCAAGATACACGGTGCCATAAAAAGGATTTAATTTATTCTCTATTCTTAAACACAGTGGGTGGAGGTGAAGAATTGCTCATCAGGTTTTTCGAGTTATATTGAAGCTGTATCCTGCGAGCTCGCAGCTATGTGAAGATAAAACTATACACAATTATATAATGCACATAGTAATCTTCCTTTAAAAAGACACAGAAAGTGATTATTGGGTTTGATTAAGAATACTCTGCAGTCGTTTTTATCGCATGAGGAAGGATATTTGTTGAGCACACATTTCCTGTGTGACAAAGATTATGCAAACTCAGTGTATGTGACTGATAAAATTGACATTTGAATGTCGTTAAATTAAGATGTTATGTTTATATAGTCTAGCCTGAAGATGCACTGCATTATTGAAACTCTTCTGAGAGTGTCAGATCAATGATGTGAAACATGATATTGTTCTCATTTGGTAGTTACACACAATACCAGCTTCAGTTTTTTTTAAATGGCATGCAATGAATCACTCAGTAAAATCATAATATGTTCACACTAGCAAAACATCTACCAAAATGTATGATTTTATATGTTTAGGAAATATTTCATTTTTTTCATAATATACGACTAATTTAGAATAGCTGTCAATGAGAGAAATGGTTTTTTCTGTAATTCTACCATTCCCCCAGCAGGCTAACTGGTTCATGCTATCCAGCCAAACCTTGACTTTTTGATATGAAGAAACATGATATTGTTTTCATTTGGAATTTACTATTTAGTGCACAACATTCTGGGTTCAGTTTTTAAAATGCCATGTAATCAATCACTCAGTAAAATCATAATATATTCACTAGCGAAAAAATCTACCAAAATTTGCGATGTTTCTAAGAAATATTTATCAAAATATACAAATATTTTTGAATAGCCGTCATTGGAGAGAAATGTTTTTTTCCTGTAGTTCTACCATTCCACAATGCTAACCAGCCAAACCTTCTTTTTTTTTTTTTTTTGATTGTGATGGGTTCACAAATCAATTTGCACTAAATGCGTGCTGCACAAACTGTTAACATCATGCTGACATGTTCATAAATATGAACTTCAGCCCCTTTCTAATGTTAGAAATGGGGATCCTTCAGAAGATTAACACGAGGAATACTGACTGCTCTTCTAAAGAAAGAAAACCATTGTCAGTTAACCAAAGTCACCCGAGACAGGAAATGCTAGTTGTGACTTTTGTTGTCTGGTGTAAAAGCCTTGCTAATAAACGGTTCAGTTTGTGGCTTTAGCTCACTGCTCTACTCTGTATTTTCCACAGACAGTGACTTTAGATCTGATTCCTTTACAGTACACGTATGGTTGTGCTTCTCTTGAAAATCACAATCACAAAAAAATCAATTTTAAGTGTTACTTTCATTTAAAGAAATTGTACTGTTTTGAAACCTAATGTGGCAGAAGTGAAGTGACTTCAGAAGAAGGAACTTGCTGCAAGGAGACACTTCCTCTTTTGAAAGGAGCTTATAATGGGACTTTATCAGCTGAATCTGAGTGTAAAACCATGTGTAGCATAATTCAGTTTACATTTATTTGTATTGTGCTTTTCTAAGCAGCTTTACAGAAAATCGATATCGATACATTACAATTAATGTAATAGTATACTTATTATGGCTATATTGTTTAAAAATCATTAGCATTTTTAATTTAGATGATGTGTCAACTTGTTTGACATAAGTACTGTTGTTATACCCAAGACTGGCCTGCTTTCTGGTAAAGCTTATGATTATTTTCTATTGTCAGAGCTTAAATAATCAGTCTGGACTTTTGAACTGCTTAGTGTTCCATTTGTAGATGAAATATTGAGTAATAGTCACAAACTTGTGCAGAAAAGACCTCTAACATTTCTAAATATCTCGTTAGGTCTGCTGGGTCATGACTGTGGCCTGAAGCATCTTACTGCTCTCAGCAGATTAGGAAGAGAATGGCTTTTTATAATTAAGATTTGGGAAATAATGGCATTATATTTACAGATGCATCTCAATAAATTAGAATGTCGTGGAAAAGTTCATTTATTTCAGTAATTCAACTCAAATTGTGAAACTTGTGTATTAAATAAAGTAAATGCACACAGTTTTCCATGACATTCTAATTTATTGAGATGCACCTGTATCTTCATGTTCTGGTGGGTCAGATTACTGTGTCATTCTGGGATACTCTTTTCCCTCTCTTCTGTGGTAAATGAAATCCTTACATTTTAAAGCTCCATACTGTAGCATCATTTAGACTGTTTAAAGGGTTAGTTCACTCAAAAATGAAAATTAGGCTGCGTTATACTCACCCCCGAGGCATCCTAGGTGTATGTGACTTTCTTCTTTCAGACGAATCCAGTCGGAGTTATATT